GACTATGCACCAAAAGGTTACCTGAGGGGTTCCTTTAAATGACCAGCTCACCTAAACATCGAAACAGCACTTGAATTCTAAAACCATAACTTACAGAAAAATTTGAAAATGTGCTCACCAATAAAGAAATCAGAAGGTCGGGATTCCATCCTCCACACTGTGTGACCTTGAATTAGTCACTTCATCCCTCTGGGCCTAAGTGAATTCGTCTGTTAAAAAAGAGAGAGAGAGGTAACACCTACCTCAGAAGATCATTGTAAAAATTATAGAATGCAGTAAAACGATAGCACAGCATCTGGCACTGGTAAATGCACAGTAACATTTGTCTCTGTCCCTCCACACTAAAAGTGAATGCCAGGTGTGGGTAAACTGAGGTTCACCAGCCAGATGCCCTCTGAAAAAGGTCACTGGTGTCTGAGTGGCTTTATGGAAATTATCTTTTTTTTTTTTTAAGTTGTTTTATAAGACCATTTCTTGGTCTCTCCAGCACACCAGCCTGAGATAAAAGTCTAGAAAATCAGTAACTTTCTATCTCATTTCTTAAAGCAGCAATTCCTAAATGCTTCGGTACTGGGGGGCCCAAATTAACCACTGGTACTGCCCCTCATTACTCAGTATTAAATTAAAAACTAACGAGAACTCAGTATTATGCTTTCATTTTTTAGTTAATAAACGTTTCCATTTTAAATTAATGGAGGAAATGCATTAAAATTCGGCAGCCGAGGTTTGGACCCGGGTGGGCAGAGCACTCGCTGCGAGGGGAAGGATCCAGCCAAGACGCACGGGATGGGGGTGGGGGCATTCTGGAGCTTTCGGGTCGACCCCAATTTCTCGTTGGCGACAAATCCAGGACACGTGTCGCCATTTTGTGTTCTGGAAACATGGCGGCCACCCCGTGGGGGAAGGGGGGGGCGGAGGGACCGCCACGTTAGCCTCTTTCCCTGCGGGATCCTAAAGCACGTTGCGCACACGTCTGTCTGGGTGCCTTCTCTGTCTGGCTTAGCCGAAGTAAAAAGAAACGGACAGAAATAAACGTACACGAGCCACCCAAACGACTTTTCTTTAGCGAGAGGAACGTGCGATGGCGAACTGCAAGAAAGGCCTTCCAAGATGGCGGGGCCCGACAGGGGCCGCCCCCAAAGAAAGCGGGGCGCGGCGTCTGCGCCAAGGGTAGAAAGGCAGAGAGGGAGCTTAAACGGCGTGGGGAAAATCGCAAGAATCCTCCCCCGCACTACTCGGGACCCCTAAATAAATGCGGTCCCCAAGAGGCACACCATTGTCTTAAATGTCTGACCAGACTACCACGACTAAAAAGACATTAGGAGGTGGGGTTTCTCTAGATTCAACCGAAAGACACTTGCAAAATGCAAACAAAGCATTATGTAAATGGACGCCATTCTTTTTTTATGGCCATGTTTCCAGCACTCCCCAGAAATCAACTGCAGAGCCACAACTTGGGCGGCAGTAGGGGGGATTTCGGTCTTTTTCCTCACCGGCCGCCGCTGGGGGACCGGGGCAAGGGTGGGGGTTGGCGCGGGGCGCCCGGGCACCGGGGACGAAGGGGCCCCCACGTGCCTGCTCGCGCGCGCTCGCGCGCGCGCACCCACCCCACAAGCCTCGCCTCGCCGCCCCTCCCCCCCGGAAGAACGCCGCTGCCCCTCCCGTCTCCCCACACCCTCGCGCACGCGCTCTGGCCGCCTCACGCGCACGTTTTAAATCCGCGGCGTCCCAGCGGCCGCCTGCAGTTACTGCCGGGGCTGCCCGTGTCGCTCCGCTTCCAAACACCTTTTGCAAGGCGGGAAAATAATGTTTCAGCCCCATTCACAACACTAACATTTCAAAACATTTGCCAGTGCCGCTTGAGTTAATAAAATGCACGTTGTTTTAAAACCTTGCCGGACTCACAGCGTCTGCCCATCGGGGCTTTATGTTCAACGCTAGGCTGTTAAAAAGAGTTTTTAAAAACTACCATGTGGAGGTTGGCGCAATCTTGTGACCTAAAAAAGACGGGTCCTCATTTTTTTTCAAGGGGTCCTGCGCGGCAAGCACTTCCGGGGTCAGAGGGTACGCGGGGTTGAAAGCGGGCTTCCCGCCCCGCCCAGACCGCCGAGGCTGCCGCCGGAGTCGCCACCGCCGCGCCCTCGCCCACCCGCCCGCCCGCCGCTCCCGGCCCCGCTCGCCCCCTCCGCCGCCGCCGCCTGCCCCTGCGACGACGCCGCGGCCTCCTGCCCGCGCCCGCTCGCTCCCGCGGCCCTCGCTCGCCTCGCGCCGGCAGTTTTGGGCCTACACCTCCCCTCCCCCCGCCAGCCACCAAAGACTTGACCACGTAACGAGCCCAACTCCCCCGAACGCCGCCCGCCGCTCGCCATGGATGCCGGTGTGACTGAAAGTGGACTAAATGTGACTCTCACCATTCGGCTGCTTATGCACGGAAAGGAAGTAGGAAGCATCATTGGGAAGAAAGGGGAGTCGGTTAAGAGGATCCGCGAGGAGAGTGGCGCGCGGATCAACATCTCGGAGGGGAATTGTCCGGAGAGAATCATCACTCTGACCGGCCCTACCAATGCCATCTTTAAGGCCTTCGCTATGATCATCGATAAGCTGGAAGAAGATATCAACAGCTCCATGACCAACAGCACGGCGGCCAGCAGGCCCCCGGTCACCCTGAGGCTGGTGGTGCCGGCCACCCAGTGCGGCTCCCTGATTGGGAAAGGCGGGTGTAAGATCAAAGAGATCCGCGAGAGTACGGGGGCCCAGGTCCAGGTGGCTGGGGATATGCTGCCCAACTCCACTGAGCGGGCCATCACCATTGCTGGCGTGCCGCAGTCTGTCACCGAGTGTGTCAAGCAGATCTGCCTGGTCATGCTGGAGACGCTCTCCCAGTCTCCGCAAGGGAGAGTCATGACCATTCCGTACCAGCCCATGCCGGCCAGCTCTCCAGTCATCTGCGCGGGCGGCCAAGATCGGTGCAGCGACGCTGCGGGCTACCCCCATGCCACCCATGACCTGGAGGGACCACCTCTAGATGCCTACTCGATTCAAGGACAACACACCATTTCTCCGCTCGATCTGGCCAAGCTGAACCAGGTGGCAAGACAACAGTCTCACTTTGCCATGATGCACGGCGGGACCGGATTCGCCGGAATTGACTCCAGCTCTCCAGAGGTGAAAGGCTATTGGGCAAGTTTGGATGCATCTACTCAAACCACCCATGAACTCACCATTCCAAATAACTTAATTGGCTGCATAATCGGGCGCCAAGGCGCCAACATTAATGAGATCCGCCAGATGTCCGGGGCCCAGATCAAAATTGCCAATCCCGTGGAAGGCTCCTCTGGTAGGCAGGTTACTATCACTGGTTCTGCTGCCAGTATTAGTCTGGCCCAGTATCTAATCAATGCCAGGCTTTCCTCCGAGAAGGGCATGGGGTGCAGCTAGAACAGTGTAGGTTCACTTAAAACCCCTTTCTGCTGTTTTCCCATGATCCAACTGTGTAATTTCTGGTCAGTGATTCCAGGTTTTAAATAATTTGTAAGTGTTCAGTTTCTACACAACTTTATCATCCGCTAAGAATTTAAAAATCACATTCTCTGTTCAGCTGTTAATGCTGGGATCCATATTTAGTTTTATAAGCTTTTCCCTGTTTTTAGTTTTGTTTGGGTTTTTGGCTCATGAATTTTATTTCTGTTTGTCGATAAGAAATGTAAGAGTGGAATGTTAATAAATTTCAGTTTAGTTCTGTAATGTCAAGAATTTAAAAATTAAAAAATGGATTGGTTAAAAAATGCTTCATATTTGAAAAAGCTGGGACTACTATCTTAAACTCTTTGTTGGTGGTTTTTTTTTCCCCTTCCCTTTTAGCGTTAGGCCTTTGTAGGAAGAAGGCTGGGCCCATCCTTCGTGTTCTCTAGCCCTTTTCACCTATTGGTAAGATTCCATTCCCTTTCTGTCCCAACAAAGGAACACCGCAGGCTGGGCCTGCTTTGGGGTATTTGCAGACGGAGGGTCTTTACCGGAGAGTGACATCCCTCCATCCAAGTTCCAGAGAGAGGCCTCTGCCCATTTCTCTGGTAGAAAACAAGGGTTTTCTGAGATGGAGAAAGTAGCCCCTTCCGTAGGAACCCTAATGAATGGCAGTGTGTCCTCCCGACCAGCCAGCCCCTCCCCCCAACCCAATCTCACTGGGGAAACTTAGGAACAAAAAAAAAATGTTCTAAGGTGGGAGGAGCCTGGGGGGGGGGTTACCCAGAGGAGAGGTGGGGGAGGGAAAAGGGCTGGGCGGGGGCTGGAGGGAGGGGCTGAGGTGGGGGAAGGGAAAGGGTCAAGGGTGGGTTTGAGGATTTGGAAGAGGGCGAGGGCCAGGGCCGGGTGGTGATAGGGATGGAGGGGTTTGGCGCCCCCAGGACTGAACGGGGGATGGTACCAGTGGGGTGCACGTGGCAAGCATGCACCTGTGGCAAGCAGCCTATCAGAGGATGTTATTACACCTTCCAAGTGGTGAATCCAGAAACAAAAGAAGCCCAGCTTCTAATTCTTCAGCTGTGTGCAATGTTAGAGAAGTCATTATACAAGAAAATCCTGCCTAAATGGGGCAGCCCTCACAGGCAGGAGTGTAGCTAGATCCACTGATTGTAGCCTAAGAATGTGGTGGTAAAAATGCAGGTTCCTGGGTCCCACCCCCCAAATCTAATCAGGAAACTGCATTTTTAACAATACCCCAAAAGGTTCTTAGAATTAAGTGCCACTGATTATCTTTACCAGTGGATTAGGAAGATCTTGCTGTGAAGGCCTAATAACCTCATGTCCATACCAACCAGTTGGAGTAGACTGGACTTGATGAAAGAAGAAAAATTCTCTATGATTAGGCAAAGACACTAGAAAAAGGCAATTCAAGACAATGGACAATTATGTGCCAAAAGTGCTTAGTTCAAACCCCAGGCACTGTGGAAGATACACTAACAGCAAAGAGAAACTCCTGTGAGAGGGGAGTATTACACGCAATAAATACCTGTTGAGGCTTACTCTTTACAGGGTATCTGCTTTTTTCTGAGGTACAGACCTGTTTCCGAGAGGCCCTGGAGGTAAGCCTGGGGTCTACCATGCACTTCACACTCACCCACTGTGGAGCCAGGCAGGCAGTCACTGAAGGGAACCTAATTTCATAAGTTAAACCTGAGTTCAAATTTGAGTTCTGCCTTTACTAGTGGCCTTGGGCAAATTATTTAACCTCTGTATAACATGGAGGTGTTAAAAGTACACATCTCGGGCTTGTGAAAAAAAAATGAGCATGTTTGTAAAGCAGAGCAGTGCTTACAACGTAGTAGACTTCAGTATACTTGATACTGCAGAAAGCCAAAGGTCCATTTCTGTCCACAGTGTCTTTGGACAGAAAAGACATGCTTAAAAGAACAATGTGTTCTAAATGACAAGCTGAGAGAGGACAGTTGGACTAAGGGGCCAGGACAGGTAAAGGAGGACCTAGTGAAAACCCAGAAATGGGTTGTCTCCTGGAGATAATGAGCATAAACCAAGTTTGCATGAAGTAGGGCAGGAGTGAATAAGTTGAACCATCAAACCCAGGCCAAATGGTTTTTGCGGAGTCCCTAAAATTTGCTGGGTGAAGTGGTTCAAATGCCCTGTAAAAAGTAGACCTCCAATTGTCCTCAACCCCTTTCCCCTCCCACCCTTTCAAAAGCAAAGCTGGCCATAATTTGTAAAATAATGAGTTAGGCAGCAAGGCAGAGGATGAAGGGCAGCTTGGATGGACTGAAGTCAAGAAGAGCAGCCAGAACATGGCCTCAAGCGGATTCTAATAACGGTAGTATTCCTGGGAATAGGACAGTAGTATTACTAGGAATACATGTAGAAAAGAGCCAACGCAAGGGAGATCTAAACTGAATGTGGAGGCTAGAATAAGCTAGAACAAAGGGAGCAGTGAGTTCAGAAATAGTGATATGACTATTTGCAGGGAGAAATAGTCAACAGGTAGCTAGAAATAGACAAACTGAAAGGAAGTCAGAATCATAGGGAGACAGGTAAGTGAGAGGAAGGGGCTAGAGACTGAGTTTTAGGGTAATGGACCTCGTCTCCATGTTCACCACAGTAGTTCTAATGCCTGTCATCATAATATATTAACAGGAGCTCAGTAAGTATCTGTAGAATGAATATAGATGTCCCTGATGAAGAAGCAGAGGGCAAAACAGCAGGAGAAAAACCAGGATAGTGTCCTTGAGAGGAGTCA